ATAGGATAGGATAGGATAGGATAGATGGATAGATAGATAGATAGATAGATAGATAGAGAGAGAGAGAGAGAGAGAGAGAGCGAGTTAGGAACCATAATAGGGAACCCTAGAAAGGTAGGTCTTTTCGTCGACAGGGAAACCTCCGGTGTCGCTTCTTTTGGTCGGTCTTGAGCTTTGGGCACAGGCTGGGCGGAGGCGACGGATTTGCCAGCAAGATGATCCGGTAATGTCAGGGGCCTTAATCACTAGAATAGGGTTCCCTTTGAAGGCTTCCGTTGAAAGGGCTCTATAAGGGATACCACAAGGGTTGTATGATGTAGGCGCCTTAATGATTAGAATGGGTTTTGGGGTCCTTTATAGTACAAACATACTCAGGAACCCCCAAAATAAGATTGGTAATTATAAGGCCCCTATATTACCCGTAAGCCCTTTCAAACCCTGAGACTCTATGTAAGCCGTAAGCAAGCCAGTCCCAAAGGAGAACCACACCACGGAGCCCTAAACCCTAAACCCTTTGTCGACACCCTAAACCCTAAACCCTAAACCTTCACTGTCTAGGGTTCGGGGTGTCGGCTTTGAGGTTTAGGGTTTCAACACCGAACCCCGAAACTCTAAACTTGAATTTTCTGGCCCTTCCAGAGGCCATCCGCTGCTCTGATGCTGGCGACCCACAACCGGAGATCCATTCAGCAGGCGGTGACGAAGATGGAGAAATTAGGCCCAGCATGCAACTTTCCGGTTTGAGGGCTTGCTTAGTTTGGCCTTTAGATGTGCTTAGGCTTTAGGGTTGAGGGTTCAGGCTTATAGGGTAACCCTAAACCCTAAACCCTAAACCCTAATCCCTAAACCCTAAGCCCTAAACCCTAAGCCCTAAACCCTAAACCCTAAACCGTTTAGTATGATCGATCCCTGGTTTAGGGTTTAGGGCCAGGGTTACGGGCAGCAGCAGAAGGCAACCTACACCCCATGAAACCCTTCAACGCACTAAGCTGTAGGTTTTAACTCAACGGCCCCAAGAAGCCTTCCCTATTAGGCTTCAGGGTTAGGTCTTAGGGATGACAGAGCCGTGTTGATATTCCTAAATATGTTAATACTTTAGCTTTGGTTCTATCACTATGATTATGACTTTGATGCTTAGTATATAGCTTTGCATTACAAGCACCTTTTGTTACTGCTGCCATGCATGTTCTGACGATTATTCCTACCGAATAACAATCATCGCAATAGTGCCAGGTAGCAACAATTCGGAACCACAAAAAGAACACCAAGCGTAATAAAAAAAAAACAAGAAAATAATCAACACCTAAACTCTAAGCATAATACTAATAATAATATTATTGCGAATAAAGATAATGAAGAATGAGCAATGATGATATACATACATCTTGGTTCTGTTTTTACTAACAGTACGACGAGCATAAGAATAGTATTCAATAACAATGAACATGATTAAAAACAACAATCATATACAAGTTGAACCTGAACCCTAGTCCCTAAACCCCCAACACTCTTCATATGTATACGGGCTCTGGGCTGGCCTTTAGGGTTCAGGGTTTAGGGCTCTGGGCCAAGGATAAACACTCGAACCTTAAACTTCAAACTGATAGTTCGCTATAGAAGGAAACGTTTAACTCAAGAACTGTTAAGCTATAGTTGGTTCCAGCGGAGAAATTGAAAGCAGCTGTGTGTAGAATATGAACCTTCGTATTTTCTGAATGTTATGGCATTCTTTGGGGGTGGGGGTTTTGCTGAACACCCTAAACCCTAAACCCTAAACCCTAAACCCTAAACTCAATAAAACGTGCAGCTCGACCAGAGATTGCTCAACCGGGAGCGAACCCTAAACCCTCAACCCGCGTTTAGGGTTTTAGGGTTTTAGGGTTTAGGGTTTAGGGTTTTAGGGTCTAGGGTTTAGGGTTTAGGTCCCCTGGCAAGGCCTCAGACCTCTTTTACACCGAAGTGATCCCGGCATTCCCCGAGAAATCAGCTTAGGCGAGCTCCCTTTAGAGTTAGGACTTAGGGCTTAGGATATTATGTGTCAGATTCTTATTGCTACCATTGTTATTAGAATCTCTATGATCATTTTCGTCGTTATGAACATTATTATATAGTACTATAGTCTTGTTCGCCCAGACTCCACTGTAGTTCCTTGTTTTGGTTTAACCATTTCTATATATTCAGGATTTCATAAGGTTTCCCCCCAAAGGAACTACCATGGAGACTATAGGTAGAACTCTTCCAGACGGTTCGTGGAGCCGTAGAGCCCCTGATGTCGACCCGTTTATGACCCGAAACCCCAAACCCCAGGCCCCAAACCACGTCAAAGGCACCCTTGAAGGAACCTTAAACCCTAAACCACTAAAGCCTAAACTTTAAACCCACACAAACTTCACGGAACCCTTACAGGAATAACCGACGCTTGAAGGAATCCTTAAAACCACCCGTATAAAGGAGCCCTTACACAGGAGCCCTTGAAGGAACCCGGTTTAGGGTTTCGGGCTTAGGGTTTAGGGTTCGAACCCTTCAAGAAACTCTTGAAGTAACCCTTGGCGGAACAAGGAACCTTTATGGGAAGCCTTGTCTTGTTCATATGTTGTCGCATAGGGTCCAAAGTACCTATATGGTAGAATGTTAGGAGTTGTTTTTATGTTTTGGGAAAGCATCCTCCATAACAGTACCTAGGACCCTTTGGGGTGCGTCTCGGAGGCCTCCAAAGAGACCACGCAAACGTGCACTTTGCCCAGATCCTTGGCATGGCTCGGACCCCAATATTTGACGTCTATAGGGTTCATACGGCTAAGGCTTGAAGTTACCAATAAGCATTGTTCAAGGTAAGGGTGTACAGGACTTAACTTTGAATTTGGGTTTTGGGGCTTAATAAGGTGTAGGGGGTAGAGGACTCGGTCTCTATTTAGGGTTTTGGGTTGATGCTAACACAGGGGCCTTAATAGCCATAGTTTTTTGATTTATGAGGGACTTCGTTCTGAGGGCTCTAGTACAGGGCCTCAGTCATTTGGACATGGTATGTGAGACACGTGGCGTACAGAGCTCTAGCTGTTTTTTGCTAAGGTCTTACAGGGAAGGGACTTGATAAGTGGAATAGGGCTTCGGGATATATTAGTATACTATGACCATCGTAAGGACCCCCCTCCAAAAACAATAGTATGGGTAATTAGTTAGGCCCCAAACGTAGCATGGTTCTGTTGTCAGGGGATACTACTACAGGGTGCTCAGATCTCTACTTGAATGATCATGGGACGTGGTAAGTAGGGTTATAAGTCCCCTGATTTGGGGTTATAAGTATAGTTACCTTAGTTGTAGCCCTGCTTACTAAGTTCCATGATCCTTTAAGTATACTCGGTTACCCAGGGGCCTGGAAAGGTTTTATGAAGGTTTTGAGGCTGTTTTCCAGAGGATGTTTCTCTCTAAGCCGTTTCGACCCCTAGCACACCTTCTAAACCCTATAAACCCTCAACCCTAAACCCTAAACCCTCCACCCCAAGCCACTGAAGGCTTAAGCCTGAACCCCGGCCCTAAACTCCACACCGCCCTAAGTCCCTAAACCCCCCAAAACCCTAAGCCCCTAAACCCCTAAACCCCTGCAAACCCCTAAACCCCTAAAACCCCTAAACCCCTAAACCCCAAACCCCTAAAACCCCTAAAGCCTAAACCCTTAAAACCCCCAAAGCCTAAACCCTAAACCCCAAAAGCCTGCACCATCTCCGAGCTGAATCCTTACTGAATCCCTTCAAAGAACCCCCACGGAGGTCGACAACCTCACGCTGGGCCTCGGCCGGGCTGGCTACAACGCCGGGGAGCCCAGATTCTCTAAACACTTTCTAGGGTTTAGGGGTTTTTAGGGGTTAGGTTGAGGGCTTTAGGGTTTAGGGTTTAGGGTTTAGGGGTTTAGGGTTTAGGGGTTTAGGGGATAAGGGGTTTAGGTTTTAGGTTTTAGGGTTTAGGGTCGACATGAATAGCAATCATATCCCCTTTTCTCACCGCTTTGCATGTTCGGGACGCACTCTTATGAGCACTACGGTTTGCAAGGGACAGGAACCGGAATAATGTCCCTTTGTCCTACATAACCACAGTCTAGTATACCGCAACAGCCGATTGTGATCTTTACGGCCGCTACGTTATCGCGATACCCTAAGCCTTGACTTGACACCCTAAAGCCCTGAACCTCCTGAGAGCCTCCTTTAGGGTTTAGGGTTTAGGATTTAGGGTTTAGGATTTAGGGTTTAGGGTTTAGGGTTTAGGGTTTAGGGTTTATAAGGTTGAGGTTGAGGGCAAATACAGGGGATTGAACATGACCAATGCCGCGACTGAGAGTTCCTGACTGCACAGTTACATTCCCAGCGTCCGCCATCTATCGCGCCCCCCGTATTATAAACCCTAAACCCTAAACCTAAACCTAAACCTAAACCCTAAACCCTAAACCCTACCCGAAACCCTAAACCCTAAACCAAAAGGCTCATCAAGGCTACTATAAACCTTAAACGCTAAGCCCTAAGCCCTAAACCCCCCAAAGTCTGATGCCCGAGGCCAGCAAGCTCCTGGTCTTCGGTGAGATCCACGAGGCGAGCGTTTGACAGCATAGGTCTGTTTGGTTTAGGGTTTAGGGTTTAGGGTTTAGGGTTTTAGGGTTTATGGTTTAGGGGTGTCATATAGGGCGGGCTCCACCAGTTGCCTAAATTGTAGTATATAAGCCCCAAAAACTTGGAAGCCGGCTTACGGACTAAATAGTGCTGGGATTCCCTATACATTACTCTTAGGGATTGAGGCTATTGAGTTTCCAACTTTTGGGCTTCTACTATAGCAGGTTTCGAACAGTAATATTTAGGGTTTAGGGTTTATGCAACCCCCTAAACCCTAAACCCTAAACCCTAAACCCTATAAGCCCTAATTATCTATCCAAGTTGGTACCTCAATGTGTAGGTAATTCGAGGCGAAGGCCTGAACCTTAAAACCCTAACGCAGGCTAGCGTAGGGTTTAGGGTTTAGGGTTTAGGGTTTAGGGTTTATGGTTTAGGGTTTAGGGTTTAGGGTTTAGGGTTTAGGGAAGGGATTCTAGAAGAGCTTTGCAAGGCAAAGGGTTCTAGAAAGTTGCTCTCAAGGAGTGTAAGGAGTTCCTGTAGCGTTCGAAGAGGCTTTTGCCGGGGTGCTATATACCCAGGGGCTCCAATGTAGTTCCTTTTGGGGTCTGTTATGGTTTTTTGGTAAGGAATTATAGTATACTATCCAAAAAAGGAACTACATAGGAGCCCTTGGGTAGGCAGCTTTGAATCTACGCTTTGGGGCGTATGGCTTCGCGGGGCTAAACCCTAAACCCTAAACCCTAAACCCTAAACCCTAAATGTTTGTCAGCGTCGGCTCCAGGGTGCTGTCTCCTTGATCCCTTGACCCTAAACCCTAAACCCGAAGGGTCCAAGTTATAGTATAGTTAGTATATACTTTTGGGCCCCAAATACCCCACAAAGTAGCTACCATGACTCACGGTTTGGGGCTTTAGGCTTTTAGGGTTTTAGGGTTTCAGGGTTTAGGGTATAGGGTTTAGGGTTTTAGGGTTTTCCCTTAAATAAACCCTAAACCCTAAACCCTAAACCTAAACCCTAAAGAGAGGGTGACCTGGAAGGCGGAGCAAAAGGGTCATCACACTTAACAAAAATCCCTAAACCCTGCCTTGTTAAGGGATTAGGGTTTAGGGTTTAGGGTTTAGGGGATTCTGTTGTTTAAGAAACAGATTAAAGAAGCCCGGCGTCCGAAGCCCTTTTCGACTTCTCCGAGCTTTGGAGAGTCGTCTATTTAGGATTGGGGTTTAGCTTATTTAGGGTTTACCTTCAGAACCCAAAACCCACTTTTTTGTAGGTTCTTATTATAAACCCTAATACGGGATTTATAGGGACCCTACAAAAAAGGTAGGTTTTGGGTTCTTAAGGTAGGGTTTAGGTTTCAGAGTGATTAGAGCATGTTGGCCGCAGGTTTGCAGGCACACTGCTGAGCCCTTGAACTGAAGGAGGCCCCACCACTAATATAGGGGGCCTATATAATTACCCACACGTAAATTTTAGGGTTTAGGGTTTTAGGTATAATTAGCAACACCATGTTGGGGGCTCCTTGTTGTGTGTTGTACTATCACGGACCCCAATGCCCTATTATGATTATTATGGCCACGCCGCTAGCGGCTTTGGCCAAGGGCCCAAAAACTTAAACCTTGGTTGCCTGGTGAAGAGTTTCAAGGTTGCGGGCAACGCCGAAGCCCCAATGCTTAGATCATCAGGATTCGGAGTTTAGGCTTCAGAGTGTCGGGTTTAGGGTTTAGGGAATTATATCGGGTTTAGGATTTGAGTTTGGGGTTCAGGGATTCGGGTCCGGATCAGAATGCCAAATCTTTACAGGGGTCCTCTCAAAGCACGCAGTTGTACCTGAACCGGGGCGTTAACTAGTTCAAAGAATGGCATCGTCTGTGCGCAATACAGTAACCTCAAAACAGTTGGAAATGGGATTGAGGACAAGTAGTGCTGGGATTCCCTATACATCAATCTTAAGGGTTGAGGCTATTGGGTTTCCAACTTTTGGGCTTCTACCAACAGCCCTTCCAAGCTTCATACACAGACCTGTTTGGGCGGAACTTCCAAGTCAGAAAATTCGTCAAGGACAAGGAGGCTTTCAAGGAACTAAACCCTACCAAACCCTAAACCAAAAACCCTAAACCCTAAACCCTTAAGCCCCTTTTTGAAGCCTAAACTCCTCAACCCCTAAACCCTAAAACCCTAAAACCCCCCTCAACCCCGAATGTTGTAAACAGAACCTTGGGATCAGGTCTTACCTTGGCTGTTGTGACCCGTCCGCAGCTCCTGTGGAGATGGGCTCAGAGGGTCCAGGGTTTAGGGTTTCGGGCGCCACACTGAGGCTATTGGGAGGATCATGGGACTTAGTAAGTAAGGTTATAAGTCCATTTAATTGGGGTTACAAGTATAGTTACCTTGGTTATAGTTATAACCCTACTACTAAGTCTCAGGATCCTTTAAGGCTCTAGGAAGGTTCTAGAAAGCGTCTAAGCGGGTTCCATTAAGGTTCTATGTGGGTCCTATAAAGGTTCTCTGTGGGTTCAGAAGAGATACGACAAGGGCTGGAGGGTTCAGGGATGTTTGGGGTTTGGGGCTTAGTTGGGGCTTTGGGGTTTGGGTTGTAAAGGGGATGTTGGCTCGATTTGCTCAGAGCCCTCATTCATGCATCAGCTTGCAGTGCGCATCTCCCTAAACCCTCAGCCCCAAACCCTAAACCCCTTAAGCTTGGTACACTTCGCATACGTATGTTGCATCCTACGTCGGGCCTTATTAAGTCAATACTGTGCCCCACATTGACAGTAGCTTATGCCGACTCAGTGACATGTGTCATGTTCAGATTTGCAGTCTTATTGCTGGAGAACAGATGGTTGATCTCTATTTGCTTGTCATCCTTTTACCCCTTTTCGTAGAGAAGCGTTTGCAGGTACATTGACACTGCATCCAGACCCCGCCGAATATGCAGTTGCACGTACTTGTTTGGCTGTGTGCAGACCAATTCTAAGATTCTAACCAGTATGTGTATATAATACATATATATATATATATATAAATACACGCACACACACACACACACACACACATCTGCCTGCTATCCTCAAGCAGGAAACCCAACAGTTGTAGCAACCTGCACGAAACCCAAGGCGTCGGACGCAAGAGAACCGTGATGCATTCGGGGCCCAGGACGGGCTGGCTGCTGGCTATCCCTTCGTGAATGAGTTTTCGGGCTCAGGGTTTGGTATGGTTTCCAGGTGTACTTGGGTTACGGGGTTTAGGGCTTTTCTGGGGTAGGGTTTAGGGGTTACGATGTTCGGGGCCGAAGAAAAGCTTGAGGAACGATGGGACTGAGGTTTTTTCCAAGTTTTGTCTCTCGGTATTCGGGCGTCAGTTTAGCGACACTTGGTTTTTGGGGCTCGGCACATTGAGATACATCCAGACTTCCTCCAGGGCCTCATTGTGGTGTTCATACATAAATGCCGGTCGGAGTCCCAAAATCCCAAACCCGAAGCCGCCTTAACCGTGACCAGCCCGCCCAACTTTATACACCCGCATTGGAGAGCTTCTGGTTTCTGTCAGTACGATGCAACTGCGAGTACCATACTTGAATACTTTTTTTGGGACCTGTTCCCTAAGGAAACCAGTATGAAATTAAAGTCTATACTTTTTTCTCCCTGGATACTTCAAAGTCTAGATACGATGCCCTCCTTTTTGGGGGGTTACCTTATAGGATCCCAAATATATCGCCGGTTCAAGAGAATTACACCAAAGGAAGTTAAAGGAACTACCATGGAGACTGTAGGTCGCCACGGGTAAGCCTAGGGCTTCGGGAGTTTTGGAAAACCCTAAACCCTAACCTAAACCCCTAAACCCGTAAACCCCTAAACCCCTTAACCCCTAACCCTAAACCCCTAAATCCCTAAACCCTAACCCTAAACTCCTAAACTCCTAAACCCCGAAACCCGAAAACACTTAAACCCCTAAACTCAAGGGCTTGGGGACTTGGGGAGTTTTTTCCTGAAGGCCGCGGAGTTCCCAGTGCTGTCGCGGGAGCTTCGGCGCCGCTTTCGACACCCATGGGCGTGAGAAAAAGCGCAGTGGGGCTTTGGGTTGAGGGTTTCGGGGTTTAGGGCTTAGGGTTTTGGGGTTAGGGCTTTGGGGTTTAGGGTAACCAGCTATAGTTTAAGGATCCTATCAGGTAACATTGGAGACTATAGGTAAACCCTAGAGCTTAAATCCGTAAACCCTAAACCCTAAAGCCTAAACCCTAAACCGCCATATTCGGGCACCTCTATGTCTCTAGAGGAATCCTTCCCTGGGTGTAGGGTCTAGGGTTTAGGGTTTAGCCCGGGCACCGGGTCGATCGTTTGAGCTGTTGTCTCCAGTAGTCATAAACCCCAAAATCCTGAACTCGAAACCCCTAAAATCCTGAACCCTAAATCCTGAAAATCCTGAACCCAAAAACTCCAAACTCCTCAACCCCAAACCCCTAAAATCCTGAACCCTAAACCCCTAAAATCCTGAACCCTAGACACCTAAAATCCTAAACCCTACAACGCGATTCGGAGGCAGATTCCTTGTGGAGTCATGGGCTGGGGAGGTTCAGTAGGAGACATAGTCTGCTATGGAATCCTCAGCATTATGACACTGACAGCAAATAGGGTCCGACCAAGAGGCCTAGAGGTTTGTTTAGGGTTTAGGGTTTAGGGGTGTAGGGCTGTTGGGATTAAAGGTGCCCCGATAGGAGAAGCCTTCATTGGACAGTTTGCAGTTGCCACAACCGCTTAGTGATACCTACTTCAGAGCTACCTATAGTCTCCATTTTGGTCTCTTTTGGGGATACCTTAGAACAATCCTTTAACCTATGATTGGTTAAGCCAAAAAAAGGAACTACAATGGAGACCCTGAGCACTAAAACCCTAAGCCCTAAACCCCTGATCCCTAAACCCGAAGCCCTAAAACCCTAAATCCTAAAACCCGAAACCCTCCTAATGTAGCGGCCTACATAGTTTAGGGTTTATTGTTCAGGGGTTTAGGGTTTAGGGTTTAGGGTTTAGGGGTGAAGGGTTTAGGGTTTAAGGAAAACTACCAATGCTATTTTGGGGTTCCTTAGTATAATGATAATATACTGGGCCCCAAAACCCTTCTTCGAATTATTAAATCCCCTACATTAAACCTCCGAGCCCTTGAGCTCGAAGACTCAACACCCTGTGAAGCCCAAACCCCTAAACCCCAAGTTTTCCAAACCCAACAGCTGCTAAATTCCTACCCGGCATAACCGCTAAACCCTAAACCCCTAAACCCTAAACCCTAAAACCTAAACCCTAAACCCTAAACCCTAAACCCCTAAACTCTAAGCCTAAACTGCAAACCCTACCGAAACCCTACAGAACTTACTTTTGTTTACGGACTTCTATAAGGAAGTTATAAGAAGGAACCCTAAAAAAGGTAGGTTCTGTAGGGTTTAGGGTTTAGGGTTTAGGGTTTAGGGTTTAGGGTTTAGGGTCCAGGTAGGGTTTTGGGTTGGCGTGTTTTGGGCTTGCTGCCGGGGGAGCTGCCCCTGAAGATTCCGAAACCATCCCTTTAAGCGGACAGCGGCAGAGGCGATAGCAAACCCTAAACCCTAAACCCTAAACTCCTAAACCCTAAACCCTAAACCTAAAAGTGCTTAGGGTTAATTGCAGCCGTCTCAGTCGATTAGTCCAAGGTTAGAAGTATGGGCCCCTAAGATGGGCCTTAGGGGGTTCTAGGGTCCCTTAAGCATATAGGGTATACAGTAGGTATATAAGGGTCCCAGGGTTAAGGGCCCATAAACCCTAAACCCTAAACCCTAAACCCTAAACCCTAAACCCCAAACCCTCAACCTTAGAATTAAGTGCACCGATACTATTCGAGGCTCAAGGCCCGTTCTTTCGGAGTAGAATCCGCGCCACAGGGCCCGCACCGAAGTTTGTAAAGATGCAGCGCTCGCCTCGGAGAGCGGGTGAGGCAGTTGTTTTTTGGGTTTTTGGGGGCTTGCGCGGTTTAGGGCCTACTGATTTATAGGGTTTTGGTGGTTTAAGGGGTTACCGAAACTCGTGGAAGTAGGAAAAATATTTGCCTAACACCTATAAAAAAAAGCGAACGATTGCTCTACATACTGTTGGGGGCTCATAGGGTTTAGGGCGTAGTCTGATTTGGGCAGGACTCTGCAACATTTCAACCCGCACAGTCATCTTGAATCCCCAGTGGCGGGCAAAGTACCTTAGTTCCTCAACGCCCAAACTTCAAACTTTTTGGGTTCTCATAATTTAGTAGTAATCTGGAAGTTTAACCTTACATATCCCTAGCTTGTTGGGGAAGTAAGTTGTGGAAGTAAGGTACTGCTTCGTAGGGGCCTCAATAATTACCAATACTATTGTGGGGGTTCCTTGCTATGATTATACTATAAAAGAGCCCAAAACCCTATTCTAAGTATGATTAAGGCCCCTGCGTTACCGTCTGGGTTTGCGGCATGCCGTTTAGGTGTGGAGTGGCACGCTGTTCGACGCTTTCATTGGCCGTGTTTAGGGGCTACCCGTATGGTAAGGTATTTAGGGGGAAGAGGGTTTGAGTGTATATCGTAGTATAGCATAGTTATGTCAGGTACAGTTGCAACAAGGATGATGCTACTACTATACCTAAACCCTAAACCCTAAACCCTAAACCCTAAACCCTAAACCGTTATAGTTTTCCGATAGGAAGACATCGCAGACGCTATTCGCTGTGGTAGAAGGGGGCTGGGCCCGATGGGTTGAATGTTGAACGTACATGACCTAAGCTTTAGGGTTTAGGGTTTAGGGTTTAGGGTTTAGGGTTTAGGGTTTAGGGGTTTAGGGTTTAGGGTTAAGCCACCAAAAGCCTAAACTCTTCCAAATTCAGAGAATGGCTAGACTCCTAGTTTGGATCTGAGTGAGTACAAGTTGAGGACTTGCGTGATGAGTTGACTTTTGAGTATTTTTGTCTCAGGAGGCATTCTTGTCGGATCATGGTTCCTGTGTCCAAGGTGCTCAAAGAGCCTCACGGGTGTGTGGCACTCGGATGGAGACGCTTCATGAAAAGGATTCAGGGTTACCTCTTGCGGAAAGCATGAAATCCTGCCAGTAGACTCCCCCCGAAATCGCATTCTCTTTTGAGGGCCAGCACGACAATGAGTTCTTGTTTTAGGGGTTGCGCAGGTCCAAGATACGGCATGCACTCAAGGAGAACGATCGCAAAGAAGCACTTTCAAGCATACAGTCGTGCAGCCCTAGGTAGTATTAGGGAGACCCCTTAAAGGGGACCCTTCTGAGTCCTACTTCTGGCTCTCTTACAAGGGACCTGATTGACAGGGTCTATATCCCCAAGGGTCCCCCTAATTCTAACTCCCATACAAGTAGCCTGCAACCCCAAGCCCTAACACCTGAAATCTCAAACACTAGATGTCGAGCTGTGCAGAATCTTGCAAGGGACGCAGGGTGCGGAGTTGCGGCGTGATTTAGCAAGTATACCTTTTGTCAGTCAGGGTCCTCGAGGTAAGGTAGGATTCTGTAACTCAGCAGTGGTATTGGTCCTTTTGACTTCATTGCGACAAGAGGCATAGATGTAGGCCTTTGCGACAGGTGCTTGCGGTGTCTGATGCTTGTGACGCCAAATCCCTAAGCCCTAAACCCTGGTCCATGCGTTGAATGCCCGTAGTTTTCCCCCTTGCTTGTTGCGGTGCCTAGGTGGAGTGTGGATGCTGTGCAGCGGCCTTTTCACCGGACGCGAGCTGTTCTACCGCAAAATGATTCCCAGGGCCATGGATGGAGCCTCTCCTTCGGCAAGCGACCCGCTGTCTCCAAGCACGACGTCAACTGCAGCCTCAAGCTCTCCGGCGGCAGAGGGCGTGACAGGCTAAACCCTAAACCCTAAACCCTAAGCCCTAAACCCTAAACCCTAAACCCTAAACCGCGAGCAGTCGCTCCTGGACTTCCTCCGGCTGGGGCGGCTTCAGTGCCGAAGAATCCTTCTCACAATGAATCATAGCAGAAACGTGCGATGACAGTCACTGACACACAGTGATGGGGCCCCGTCAGGCTTGCGATCCCGACCTAGCCCGCCCGGACCACGAATCACCATAAAGACCCGAAGGCGCCTTTTAGGGGTTTAGGGGTTTAGGGTTTAAAGTTTAGGGATTAGGATTGGGGTTTAGGGTTTGGACGTATAGGGGCCTAATTACCTTTTTAGGGGTTCCTTATTATAAACATAGTATCATGGGCCCCAAAACCCTATTCTAATTATTACTACTAAAAATTTGAGAGGACCGACAGCTCATGGAGAGAGGGGTCTATGGCATTGCGGGCTTTTTGCGCGTCTCCTCGGAGCTTCGGATTTTGTGGAGTTCGCCGTACCTGTCCGGACCTCAGGCTCCTTGGGGGTTTAGGGTTTAGGGTTTAGGGTTTAGGGTTTCCGATAACAAGGGGTACCTTATTTTGAGGGTCCTTATAAAAGGGTCCTATTATTTAGGGTACCATATTAGGGTCCCCTATTTTCGGAAACCGCCCATTAAGGCCCTTCCCTAAACAACTAAACTTCCTAAGCCCTAAACTGTAAAATAGGGTTTTGAGAGGGAAGGCCGCAAAGCCTGTAGGGTTTTTGGTAGGGTTTGTTTTCGGGGTTCTACGACGGCTTAGAGTTTAGGGATTTTGGGTTTGGGGTTCAGGTTTTGAGATAGGGCTTCAGGGCGTAGGGCTCAGACCTTAAGGACTTGCAACTTCGAGTTCAGTATATTGGAGGCTGGTTGAGGGTTGTATAGAAGCCTGAAAATGCTTTACAGATGTTATTGATTAGGGGGCCTTTGATCATATTTAGAGTGTCTTCTACCCGAAAACCCAGAGACTCCAATATAATATCCCTTAATTAAGGAATATACCTTAAATCATACTAGGGATCCTACTATAATTCAAGGTCTATTCCTCAAGTAAGGGATCTTGGAGTCTCTAAGAAAGCCTCTTCTAATTCTGAAGGCACCTCTATGATCTTCTTCAGGATTTTTCGTCCTAAGGGGCCATGGCCGAGATTGCTCTTCCTCCTCAGGGGGGCCTCCATTGCCTTAGGAGCCCAGTAGGCAAACTTTAAACTTTTTGGTATATTAAACCCCCTACTAAATGAAAAGTTTAAACTTTTTTGGGCCAGAGTACTGGGCTTCAAGGTTGCCCATTATTCATTGTATAACGGCTTAGGGTTTAGGAACAATCATAGAGTAGGGATTGTGAATCTTACTTGGAGGATCATGGGGCTTAGTAGCTAGGGCTATAAATACAGTAACTATAATTATAACCCCAATTAGGGTACTTATAACCTTACTTACTAAGTCCCATGATCCTCCAAGTATGCCTGTTTCCGAGCACTGAAAGACCACACCCATGCTATTAGGATTAGGAAGTCACGACTGCCGGGCCGGTTGATTGCTAATTATGCTTGGGAAATACAGGTTGCAACGAATATAGGGGCCTTAATAATTACAATAGGGTTTGGGGGTATATTATACTACAATTACAATAAGGAGCCCCCCCAAAATAATATAGGTAATTGTTTAGGCCCCGGTATTGGTTGCCATCTGCGTTTTTGCATATTACACCAGCACTTAGGGGAAAACGATTCCGCCGAGCTGTCGCATGCTTCTGCTTCCCGCCGGTACTTGGGGGAAACCATTCCGCCTGTCGTCCTCACTGCACTAGTACTTGGAGGAAAGCATTTTGCAACATGCAGTGTCCTAAGTGTCTTGGTGGTCTCCTGGTGCTGTCCTGCTGTTCTCCTGCTGTGTCCTGGGGTCTTCGTTGCCTTTTCCTGCATTTTTCGTGACTCCGTCCGGGCGGCTTTTATAATTAACCGCTCTCGCTAAGCACAGGTATTGAACAAGGAACTCAAGGAGCTCCAGCTGCCCAGGACTTGAGCAATCCCGAGCCACGGCCTGTTGCTCCTTCGCGACGGCGTACCAGGCGCACATTGTGGAAATGCAAGTTTTGCGACTTCCTGACCAGGCCAGGGTTGTCGACCAGCAGTATTGACGTGGTGCGGTTGCAGCGTTTGAACAAGTGGCATCGTGATCGCAAAGCTCAGTGGGTCAGCTTTTGTCGGAGGAGCTTCAAGGCGGTCCCCGAGGCCGCGCGCAAGTGTACAGGCAGGCAGGTCGTGGCCAAGCCGGTTGTATCTTGCCCGTCAAGCATTGTCGAGCTGAGCATCCGCGGGAGCCCCATGCCTTTCAAAAACTCGGCAAGCCCAGCAACTACAAGAAGGCCACTCACCTCATGCGTTGCAGGGCGGGCAAGCATGGAAACCATGATGTTGTCGTTCACCGCATCCCTTGGTCAAAGGTGGCTGGAGGCAAGCAGCGCAAGTCGTCCAGTGCACATGTTTGTGTCAAGTGTGCTGCGTATGGTGTTACACCGGCGCTTCTGAATCAGACCCCGTGCGATGCCACTCGCATGCCGGTGGGGAGGCACCGCCTGCAAGGCCTTGATCGGCAAGTTCATGCAGGCCTTGGAGCAGGACTACACCGAGGAGCTCAAGAGTGGCATGAGAGCGGTGCTGCAAATCTTTGGTGATGTTGCGAACTGCACGTGCTCGCGCGGCTGAGGAGACAGGTGCGCCCAAGCATCACATTCAGGCTGTTGCATGGCCCAAGCTCACGGATGGGGATACGCGGTCCCCAATTTCACAGATGGAGATACACAGTTCCGAGTGCGCTTTGTTGTTTGCCAGTGCTGTCATTACCATGCTGTTGCCACGCGCCACTTGACAGGATGTCGAGTGTGGCTCCGCTGGCAAGCATGGCCGATCCCACATGCGCTACCTGGTGGAGGAGCTCTTGGTGCAAGGTGGGACCCGTGCTCCGCCAGGACGGGGCAGCACGTGCTTTGGCTGGGCACGCTCAATGTTGCTACGCTGGCGGGCAGGGCCGTAAGGCCCAGTAGCTAGACGTCGTGCTGCTGCAGGAGACCACACTTCCTCGTGATAGTTGTGGTGCAGTGGCGGGCCTGTCCAAACGTCGTGGATGGCAGTTGCGCATTCACGACCAGGGGCCGGTTAATGGACGTGGCTTCAGGTGGGGCCAATGGCCCGCGGAGACTCTGCGGCCTCCGGCTTCCATTCCTCAAAGGGTGTGGTGGAGTTCTTCGTGTAATCCCGGCCCCGTGAACATTTATTTGCCGGCTTCGTCGAGCACTGAGGCTGCTGACATCCTCTCGAGTTTTCGAGTTTGCTGCGAGCACCGGTGAGGATGAGCATCCAAGCACTCTCAACACGACCCTCGGCACGAGCTTGAGCATACTCATCACGAAGAGGGGCCCAAATCTCGCTCCATCTACTGTCACTGACCGGCTCCTCCTGAAGTTGGGCCCTCGGAGGGAGAGGAACAGCCTTGTCACGGCCATGGTTCAGGAGGACATCGGAAAAAAAGACCAGATCGTGATCGGTCCGGCCACGGTGTTGCTCACGATGGGTGAAGATGACCTCGGAGGTGCCCAGTGCGAAGTCGATGCAGCGCATGTAGGAGCTATCGGCCTGCCGAGGCGCACACTGTCTCCAAGAAGCATCTCATTGGCCGGGCGCCACCGTCCCGCCACCGTGGCCGTCGAGATCGGCTACATGTTCTGTGTGAAGTTGACGTCAGCAATGACGGCTGCGCCGTTGAGGATCGGCCAGGGGGGCCGGCGCGCCTCGACGACCGCCTCGAAGTCTCCCCACTCAGACGGGTGAAGTTTCCACGATGGCGCCATCCTGTCAGGGTCTCCGTGAGCGTGCCGGTGAACTGCTTATATGGAGCGTTGTCAGGCTGATGAACGTTTCAACTTGTGCAATAAGATTGTGTGCTCTGCTGCTGCCTTGGGCATTCAGGCGGAGGGGTGGAGGACATCATGCACGAGGCTGGGCGCTTGTGGGATGTGAGCCTGGAGTCCGAGCCATTAGAAGCGGCGGGCCGAGCTGCGGCCTGCGCGGGACTGCTCGCCGGAGCTCGCGAGGGACTTGAACGCTGAGGCGCGGATGCACTGCCCAGCTGGCTCCTTTGAGTCCTCATTGGCAGGCGGCAGTGAGCAGGATGGACAGGGTGCGGCAAGCCGGCAGCTCTCTGTGACGCAGGCGTGTGCTGAGTCAGTTTGCTTTTTGAGGGGCGAGTGGATGGAACCGTGCGTCTAGTGAACCTGCTATACTTCCTGGATCTGCCCCTTTTTCTGCTTTTTCGCAGCTTGATCTGGTGCGGTATTGTGCCCTGCGGGGCTTGGTGGTGCCCTCACGGTGGCTAACTGCTCTGTTTGCGTAAGCACAGGTTGGCCTCGATCAAGGCTGAAGGAACTGCTGCCTTTGCGTCAACAGTGGAGTGCCTCTCTGGAGGCTTTTGCTCAGGCTCGGGATTGGTCTGCCCAGGCGGCGAAGCGTCAGTTGAAGACCACTGCACCCTGTGCTGCAGCTGCCCGTGAGGCTCTCGGTCAGTTTTTCATTCCGCGTGCTTGAGGGTTTCCCGCCATGCGAAGCCACCTTTTCTGAAGTTTTCTGGCTTCCGCGTGGTATGTGCTCCTTCGGGAGCTGGTGGCGCCAATGGTGTCCAACCGCATCGTCTACGTAAGAACAGGTTGACATCTTATAGCAAACTATGCTGCCCAGGTGCCGCCGACATGC